GGGGGGGGGAGGGAGCAAGGGCCCGCTGCTGTTGTTGCTATGGGGAAAATCGAGGGCGGCGCGGCGGCGGCGCTCGGGCCGAAACCAACCAAAACTGCATCACGATGAGTTTGAGAGCGCGCGTTTTTGGCGGCAAATCTGTACTGAACGATGCGATACGCACGGTCCAGTTCCGTTTCCGAGCCATTACCCTCCCGCCCATACATGGGGGGCGCGAACAGCCTCCTTTTCCTCCCTGCCCCCCCTCTCCTGTTTTATGTAGCGAGAAAAATCTTTCTCTCCCTCTCTCTCTTTCCTCCTCCTTCTCCGTCACACTCGCACTCTCTTTCGCCCCGAAGACTCTTAAGAACTGCTCTACTTCCAGCCCCTTCCTCCCCCTCAGCTCCTCCCCTTCCTGCCCCGCTCCGCCTTCCTCCCTCGAGCCGACCGATTCTGATAAACCCGCCCCCGTACCGTAAATTACAAGAGCGGGCGTGGCGGTGCGTGGCGGCCTGAACCTTGACTCGTCTTGGAACAGATCACGCCCTGCGCTAAACGCTTTGGTAAGAGCGAACAGGGAGGGGGGGGGAGGCCTTTTTTGCGATGAAAATAATACCAGTGCATTTACTCCCCTACACCCATTCCTGCCCCCCAACTGTACATCACTAGAACTACCTCATAGCAAAATTAGGTGTCGTTCCGGTTTTTATGTTTTCGTCGTTTCGACTAAATCGGCTTTAGGGAAGGAAAAAGCACCCATCACGAAGGGGGTAATTAACGAAGGTAGCATAATGAACTTCTTTTTCTTTCTTTTTGTAATCTTAGGTAGCAAGATTTGTTGTTGCCACAGTTTACGCAAATACACCATTTTAAATCTTTGAATCACTGCAGAAATGTGTGAAGACGTCGGTCGAAATACGTTCACTGGCAAAAGGGAGCGAAAGTGACATCGGCGTCAGTAAGGGCCTAAATCGTCCAAGAGAGAGAGGGAGAGAGAGAGAGAGAGAGAGAGAGAGAGAGAATATCCGGATGGGATGTCTGCATTTTTAAGAACAGCTCGTCCTAGCGGTTGACTCACATCGACGATATGACGAAACAGAGTAGGAAAAGGAGTGAGGAATGAGAGAGGCGAAGGGGGATGAAAAGCGAGAAGGGGAGGGGGTGAGGTCTGGTTTTGTCGTCTTTCCCCCTCCACTCTTTATTATTCTCTTTCATTTTGCGACCAGCTGTTTCGTCCTGAGCGGTATCCAGCCCCTACGCCGCCGCTGCAGGGTGATGGTGGTGGTGTGGTGGCTGGGAAGGGAGTACTTCGACCCGTGCTAGCGCGCGCGCACCCCCTCCCTCTACACACACTCACACATGAGCACGCACACAAACGTATACACTCCTTTGTCCGTCGGTGCCCTTCTTCACGACTTGCGACACCCCGCCGCCGCCCAAGATAAAGACTTCAAACGCGCTCCTGAGCGGGCTCCATGCCGCCGGCCGGCCGATACACAAAGCTCCCTCCATCCAGCTCCAGCCGGCAGAGGGACTGGAGGCGCGACTGGACGGCAAGAGGAATTTATTAAAACGTTTGAACAGACGCGCGCGCACGCGCTTGCACAGAGCAGGGCGGCACGGGTCTCGTTCTGAGCGGACGGCCCTCAAACTCGAGAGAGAGAGAGAGAGAGAGAGAGAGAGAGAGAG